CAAGTAGCTCACCACCAGGCACTTCACCACTAGGTCAAATGACGAGGTACTTAGCCAAAAAAATTGATACATCACAAAAAATTGGTACGTGACCAGAAACGATTACATCAGAAACAATTAAGAGGACGCCTTGCTAAGGGGTGACCATCTCTATTTATAGGCATTTTTGAGGCATTCAGAAAGTCCTCCCATCAAAGACTTTGAAGTCTTTGAACACGTTACAAGTATTACATAGATCCATATTCATTATCATATATTTGGTTTTCGTGGGGTCGAGAAAAAACCCTATCACTTAATCGGGATTTGTCAATAAAATGTGTTGAAAATGTATAGCTCCAAGGATTGATAAATTAACAGTGTGGCTCAGAACTATAGAAGGCTTAAGCTGCTCCTCCTTGACTGGTTCAATATAAAGTTTTGAGGTTCACAGCTGAAGTCCAAGCTCGATTAAACTTGAGTAAAGGCTACAGAAGTGACTTCAATGCATGTTCCGTGCGGGCTTCTATTCAAACAAGCTGAGGCACCTGCAGTTAAACTCTTTTTATGAGACTGCACAAGGATGCCTCACAGCTAGTCAGCTACAATAAGCAACTCGACACATGTTGTAGAGTTTTGAAATTCAGCAGCCATATTCATTCTGGCTAATCTGGATGCTATAGCAATAAAACCAGAACATCTTGAAAAGAGTAGATATAGAAGATGGAACAAATGCCTACAATAACCTGAAAAATGAAAACCTTATCAATGATGCGATAAAATTGATTTCGTTGAGTAACTGCTAACCTTGTGATGATATTAAGAACCAACCAACCACGTCTTTGTGTTTCCATCAGGATTCTTACCCAGCAAATTTCAGTTTAGAGTAGTTGACATTGCAGTTTTAGCCTTCTCCTCTGCTGCAATAGAGAACCCAAAAGGAAGTTCTTAAATGAATTGGACGTTAAATAAGATTGTTTCACACTGAAAGTTTAAACATTCATCTTCCCATTTGGTATTGTGTTATACTCAAGTGTCAATGTTAAACTCCCTTCCTCCTTCCCCCTCTCTGGATGAATCCTAGAGGAATGTATTTAATTTAGTATTTAGCTGATTCTTTGGCCAAAATATGGATACACACAGAGATTGTTTGATTCCAGTTTCATGCCTCTGTATAATTCTCTTGGGTGCCTCTATTTTCTGTTCCCTATTTTTAAATGGTGTAAAGCATTGGTTGGGGGTGATCAGGTCAATCAATTGAAAGAACAAAATACAAGAAAGAGCAAGTGAGGTGAGGTATGACACCCAGATCGGATATAACATTGGACATATGCATACGGATACAGGGGATTTCATTTTCCCTTTCCTAAAATCATAGATGCATATATGGTACAAGTATCCCCCCTAGATAATTATATAGTTTTTGAAGCAAGATTCATTTCTTAAGACTTGTATCTTACAAAATTTCTAATGTGCAGAAGTTCTTCAGAGGACAATTAGTTGAAATAAACAATTTTGCATATTTTAAAAGGGTTAGTTTCTGCTATAGAGTAGATCTGGTAGTGCC